TAAGGACCCCCCAACCCCAGGCCTGCTCGGAAAACAGGCAAAAAAAAAAAAAAAAAATTGCAACTAATGTCACGGCATTTACTGAAGCAGTGATTAGGTTAGTCGGTAATGTAGAATGACTGAACTACTGACTTTATCAGAGGGCTGTTTTATATTGAAATCGGATGTTAACGCTAGGGCATTAAAGTAATTAAAATGCGGCGATTAATCAGATTAAAATTAAAATTAAAATTTAAAAGTTAAACCTTTGCATATCTTTCTTGCATTTGTAGATTATTAACATGTAGAACAGGCGTGAAACACGTACCTCTTCGTCGTCTTTATAGGAAAAAATGTTTTTTGGGCTAGATTTTAAGAATGGGGATTTATCTTAGTGGCGCTTTGGCCCAGAGGCAATGTCTCTGTCATTGGTGTGGAACCCCATGGTTCACCTCCTGGGCAAGTTTGAATCCTGGTTATGGCGGTTGGTACGGTGCAATGTGATTTGGGTGGCGACCTGCGACCCGGTAACGGATGAAAATGGATGGATGGATGGGATTTATCTTAATTAGTCCTGAATTATTGTCACGAATCCATGGCTAACCTGTGATCGATTGGATCAAAAATTGGTTAATGGTTTGACGGCCCTCGTTTATGGCTCCAAAGCCTTCGAGCTGTCTTTAAAACCCAAGAAATGTCAACGTCTTGTTTGTCCCCAAGTTTTCCTCCCACAGTCTGGAATCATACAGGATTAGTGTATTTGGAACTATCGGCGTGGGAGTTTGAACAGTTGCCGGTCTCTCTGTGTGGTCCTGTGTTAGCCAGGTGAACAATCCAGGCTGTAATCCACCCTCGCTTGATGTCCGCTGGGATTGGCTGGGAAGCCCCGCCTAAATAAATAAATAGGTCTATGACTCGGTGTGGTGTGAACTGCGGTGGCAGTAATAATTGTTGCAGAGACAGCTCACTGTGCAGCGTGGGCTGGACTGCAGTGTTCAGACTATAATACTCTGTAAGAAGAACATCTACCTCATGACATGTAATGAAATTCCCTCTTTAGTACCGCGTTGCTGTTTTCGCAGCGAAGCGAACGCAGGAGTTGTTCTGCATGGTCAGTGACATCCGACCGCTCCATACTGCTACATCAAGAGCACAATTCTTTTTTTTTTTTTTTTTTTTTATTATTCTGTCAGCTATTTGTGCATAACAGCTCTCCGGCTCAAACAACAATGGCATGGAGAATTTCTCATCATGGGAATTTAAAAAAACAATTTGCCTCTAGGCATAACAGAAGCAGAGGTTTTTGTTTTTTTTTTCTATCAGACTGCGTTTACTTCCGAAAGAAAGTTAAAGCTGTGGCTGCAGTTTTCCATCTTTATCCATGCTGCTGTTCAGCCGTAGTAAATGTTAAGACAAGCTGTGCGTCCTCTAGCTTCCGACAGGGGGGGCCTTGGTGTAGCCCATGCATCTCATCTAGATACCTATGGTTATGATATGTCGGCTATGGCAGTAAAAAATGCCTAATTTAACTAACTAATTCTGTCATGAAAAGCTGAACTTTGGCAAGCAAAAACCGGTCAAGTCGAACACCCAACTGGATGAAGACGTGTCCATATACGTTACATATCCAAAGGCATTTTGCATGTTAAAATTGGAAGACAAACTATGACTCCTACAGCTAACAGCTGAACCAGAAACAGCCCGGTTCTCACAAGGCGGAAAAAAAAAAAAAATCCCGGACCGTAGCCATAGTAAATCACAACATACTTTGGTCAATAAAACAAGTTTCCTCTCATGTTTTTGTACTGAGACCGGAATAAAAGTAGCATTTAACAGCCTAGGTGAGCTCCCACCTAAGCTTGACTTAACTGCGCATATGAATGTACCGACTGTCGACAGCTCACACTTTCAGTCCTGACAGAATTCCCAGAGGCAGTGAAGTCATCCTTTGTTTCTGCAGCAAAGGGCTTGGGATATAAAAAAAAAAAAAAACCTAAAAAAAAATACCCTGTATTTTTAAAGAGCCTGTCAGAGCTTAGGCTCCTTGCCTGAAAACAATATTTTTTCATTGATTTTTTTTTCAAGATAACGCTTCAGAATTGTCAACATTAAATATGAAAATGCATATGTGGCCTAATGCCTTTTACTTTGCAGTAGCGGAGTGTTGTGAGAGTGCTGTGACTCCCACTGTGACCCCATTCTTTTTTTCTTTCTTTTTTTTTATCTATCATGACAACTGTACGCTCAGCGCTGCCTGGAGCAGGCTCCTTAGGTTGTCGCCATTACAAAGAAGCGTCAAAAGGAGAAAAAAGAAAAAAAAAAAAATCCTCATCTTTGCTGCAGTGTGTTGCTACAAATTAGCTGTAAAAGTTCCTTGGCAGCAAAATACATAGAGTTGCGACATTTTTAAGCAGATAAAAATACGTCATATTTAACCCTTTGATGCATGACCCATGATATACTGAGTTTAAAAAAAAAGTTACTAAGTGTTTTTATGTGTTTTTTAGACATAAAAATAAGAACTGATTTGGTTCTGTTTTTATACACCACATTTTCTTTTTGAATGTTGACACAATTGTTCTGCAGTTGCAAAGGCTGACCACTGTATGGCAGTGTTGGGTGATTCTCAGGCGTCCACTGTGGAGGCTTATATGCAACACTGCCATCAAAAGCTATTCTTTATCATAGAAAATGACATTTTCATAGCTGTCCACTGTAGTGACCGTCATGCATGAAAGGGTTAAAGACAATGTACCTTCTTCGTACAAAGCTTGAGTCACCTAGCGTAGCTTGATACTTGGCTGACATGTAAGGGCGGGCATACGCTGTACGATTTTTAGCTCGTTTTTGACCCGATTTTTGAGACGCACGACCTGGCGACGCTCGGCTCGATTTCCCGTTTTGTCTGGCGTCTTTTTCCGTGCAGTGTACAGGGATTAACGAGGGTCGATTATCTGTTCCCGAACCACCGTCGGACGGTCGGAAGAATTTCTGACATGTCGGAAATTTTGGTCGGCCGACAAATTCTTTCGCACACTGGAAGCAGAGCCCCGAGCCGACCGGAGCATTTCTATCCTCAGTGCGCCTGCGCAGAGTGATCGTCACCATGGCGAGGCGTTGGTGGCATGAAAATATGGAGGCAATAAATGTAATAAATAAACAATAAACGTACTGTCCACGTTTATTGAGCCATCTCCGACTCCAGATGCGCCGGCGCCTCTTTTTTTTTTCGAATTTTCAGCGCGCAGTATCGCAGCAATCATAATGGCAGCCTTCTTCTTTATGAATAGCATGTTGCTAATAACCAGCGTCGGAGCTTTCGTATGAATCTTTGTTGACAGCTGTCATTAGACCGTACAGTGTGAGTACATAAATCGTGAGCTTTGTCCGGGACTTCTAAGATTTTCAAAAGTCGTACAGTGTCCGCCCGCCCTAGCACTGAATGATGGCTCTTGAGTACTCTTCGTATGTTATCCAATCTGTGCCACTGTTATGGATACCAGATGCTTAGAATTTGTGGCACCCATTCTGAAAAGCAGGTGTGGTCACCTGATGGCACCCACTAAAAAAAAAAAAGCTCTTAATGTATAGCTCTTTCTAATCCTGGAGGTTATTGGAAACTCTGTCTTTTTTTGGTGTCTTCCTATCTCAGCTAAGTCACAGACACACAAAACACACATTTCCTCTTGTGGAAGTGTTGCTGGCAGCAGTTGAAAGTCATAACTGTCATCTACAGGGACGCCTTTTTTTTTTCGCACCCCACTGGTAAACATATTTACCCAGAGATTTGCAAACAAAAGGGGAAAAAGGGGGAGGAAAATGCAGGAAGAGAATGTAAAATCCTCACCGCCAGAATATAAATGTGAGGGGGGGGATTCTCTTCGAATGAGTACACGGCTTGGTTTGATAAGAAATTTAGATTTAGGAACACGTATGAAGACACAACACATAACCTCCAGTTATAAAACGCATCAGCATGAAGACAAAGCTGGGAAAAAAAATAGACATTTCCGATATCACCGCCTCTCGGTGAAGAGGCTTGTCTTGACATGACCTTTTTTCCAATGTCTGTGCCCGGCTCAAGCAAGGCGTTGGTGGAAATTAAAAATCGAAACTTCACAGGAATAAAAAAAAAAAATAGTATTAATGTGTCTTGATAAAAAAATATACTTGTGTGGCCTGTGTCTCAGTGAACCGCCTTCACCTACTTCTGTCGTTTATTTAATGAATGATGAATGCATTTTTCCCCCTCCACATATGGGTCAACTTGGCTGATCAATTAATAAGGAGGAACATGGATATTTTATAGATTTGGCTCAGATTTAAGTCCTGGTTTGATCCTTTGTTGCCTTTTTTGTGCTCTTGTACTGTCTAATGCCTTTGTTCTAGTTATTTGGCATAGTCCCATATATAACACTTGAAGGACAAAAAAAAAAGCTTTTCTGCCAGAAAGGGCTTTGTGTTAAACTTTTAAAAATAAATCCTATTATTGTTTAATGTCTAGTGTAAAAAGCTCAGAGGCAAAATCGAAAAAAATATGTTTCTCGTGAATTATCGCGGCTTGTCTATAAAACCGTCAGCATCGGGTACACACTTGGTTTGTGTGGGCCCCCGTAATTTGCAGAGTGCGTGTAAAGCTGTCCTCTTTTTCCGAGGACAAAGCCAAGAGCAAAGTGAGGATAAGACAGTGCGCCGCTGTCCTAAATCAGCAGGTTTACTACTGTATTTGGCTGCTAATGAATAAATAAACCCTCTCTTTATGGCCTTTACAGACTCAATCCAATAATAATTCTCTATTCATTTTTTCGCCGTCTTTAACAGGCCACTGCTGTGTTTAATGTAAATCAAGGATTTTTTTTTTTTAAAAACCGCTTAGGAATAAAAAGCTTTTCTAATTAGGACAAATGAAAAAAAAACAAACAAAAAAAAAAACACGACAAATCCAAGGGGAAAACACTGATGTTTGCTCTGAAATGGTGGTGTGTATGGCAATGTTCTCAATTGATTTCAAAATCACTCACCCTTATTTCCATGCCCTCTTTTTTCCCATCCCATGCCCAGCTGCGCTTGGTGAAGTAGTTGACTGTGGCAAACTCAATCAAGGCAGAGAAGACAAAGGCATAGCACACAGCCATGAACCAGTCCATGGCGGTGGCATAGGCCACCTTAGGAAGGGAGTTTCTAGCACTGATGCTCAGGGTGGTCATGGTTAGGACAGTGGTGACCCCTGAGGATGAAATGAAAAGATTAGCAAAATGGGTCCATCTGTCCGAAAACACACGAAGAAGGTTTAAAGTTTGGCGAACCGGTAGGCAGATTTAACACAGTGTCATACAAACAAGGTCAAAATGATTGTTATTTTTCCATATAATAGACATGTAATATATATATATAAAAAAATAATGAGCTAAATGTTATGGCTAACTTTGACGCAAATCATCAAATTTACATTATTTAAAGTGTCGGATAAAAACAGTAGGGCTTTAAATATGAACTTAATTCATAACGTTAATAATTTGAGCTTAATGCCCAGCATGTGTTCGCGGGGCTTCAGCTTCAGGTCAGAGGTCAGAGCACAGGACAATCAAACCTGTACGGCTGATAAGCTGACAGTTGTGAAGTGGTTGGCAAATTTTACTAAAACTAAACATATTGCTAAAATCCACCAACTCTTTGCAGCTACAGTTTCCTTTTTTTTTTTTTTTTTTTTTTTTGTGACATTTTTCCATAATAATACAGTGGAACCTGGGTTGTCGAAACGTGTTTCAGATCTTTCTTTACGGTACGGCTTAGCGAAGTCGTCGATAAGTCGAAGTACCATTATTAGGAACAAGGAAGCAATACAAGAAGCTAAGGTTACAAAAGGGGTGACTGTGATCACCAAGCAAAGATCTCAGACATTAGAAGAAGTCTAATGTCTGGGATTAGACTTCCCAGATTATTAATCTATTATTAAGTCTATGACTTTTATCTTCACGAACAGCCTTCACGAACGAATTAAGTTCGAAAAAAACCGAAGGTTCCACTGTAATTTCCTCTGTTGAATTAGTCATTCTGATGAATATCAACAGCTACTCTGTGTTTAAGCAAAAAATTGTAATTGTTAGCTCTGATAAAAAGTTAGACCAGGTGTAACGTGACAGTTTCACACTTTCAAAATATAAACGTCAATATAACTTAAAGTCAGTTGTTTGAACCACGTATACTGTATTTCCCGGACTTTAAATCGCACTTTTTTTCCATCCTTTGACTGAGTTTGCGACTTATACTCAGGTGTGACTTATATGCTAAAATAAAATAAATTGAAATATATTTCAAGGGCACTCTAGGCTTGTGTACCAGTGTCTTCTACTCCTGTACCACTGAAAATGGTACATGTTTGTTATTTTCACACTGACGTCCGCTAGAGGGCACTCTTGCTGGCTGGTGCGACTCACGTATGTTTTTTCTCGTTCATTATGCAGATTTCGGTTGGTGCAAAATTATACTATGGAAAATAAGGTAAATACCTTATCCGGTTGTATGTACCTCAAAAGTTATTGTACCACCGAAAATGTACACTTCACTGAACTGTAGTGAAGAAATTTGTTAAGAATTTGTGAGCTTTTGAGTGAGGAAGTACTGCAGAGAAAGACCGATTTGCTGTGAAGCACTTTACGGTACTTTCCATAAGTTTTCTGCACCCATCGCTTGAGTGATTTTCTAGAGGTGGTTTATCGAGGTACTGACACAAAAAGTAGAATTAACCTCTGTTTTGTGAGCCTCCGCTGTAGTGTAAAAATACTTTTTTTTTTTTGCAGAAGTTTTGGTTCCGGAAATACCACCGGCACCAAAATAATAAATGATCAAACTCAAAAAAAGACATTCAGAAAACCGACCAGGCTGCAAAGAACTGTATTAGCACAGTTGGTAAGGGTGGGAAAAAAAAAAAAAAAAAAAAAAAAAAAAGGGAAGTCTGTTTGTTGATGAGATCACTCGAGAGGGAGAGAGTGTTGTTCCCAGAGAGCGTTTGAATCATTCCGCTGAGAAAATGACACTGATTACAGTTCCTCTCCTCGTGTGATGGAAACTGTTCTCTGCCAAATGGAGTTTCTTGTGTCGCCGGAATGATTCTCGGATGGCTGTCTGTCTGAAAAATGTTCTCGTAGGTTCGTTGCCGGTGAGCTGCGGGGACATTCCAATGCATGGGAAAATAGGCAGCTGCCGGGAGAAACCTTATTCTCCAAACAGTCCCTTGTGTTTTTGTTTGATTAAACACGTCTTGTGGGTGTTGTGTGTGCGGCTTCCTGTACGTACATGTGCCTCATTTGCATATGTAAATTGTAACACGGGCCTCGCTCTATTACGATGCACATCACAAAAAATAGGATTGAGGCGGCACATATTGAATCAACTATTAAAACCTGCATGGAAATCTCAAAAGTTTTTGACGAAATTTAAAACAATCAATCAAGTTTGCTCAAACCCAATCGAATAACCTGTATGTGGCTTTTACGTAGTCGTTATCTGATTAACAAACTAGCCAAACTCAATGGCAATAATCAGTCGAGTTATCAATTCATATTTTATCGCCTGATTTATCAACACGTCGTACTGCATGATAAACAAATCATTTTTGGGCTACTTTTTAATTGATAAAAAAAAAGGGGGATCAGACCATACAATCACTTAAAAAATGATATGAAAATATTGGACATTTTGAATCAGACATGTATGTCAAATGAATGAATTGGTGCAAATATTAACAGTATTTGCAATGCAAATATTTTTGATATTCTAATTCCATATATTTTGATAGTAGTAAATTCAACACAAATGAACCTTTTTATGGAAATTTTATCGCAAACTGCATTTAAAAAAAGAAATCATCACAGGGTTTGGATAACTTACAGAAGTTACTGCGGATCGGTAATACCGCGCCGTCGTTGAGGGATCATTAAATTTTCGAAATAAAGCTTCTCTTAGGCTTATTTGTGTTAGTATCAGTCTGAATGACCTATCGTTTTGAAACATTGCCGGATAGAAATTAGTAAAACTGAAGTACATTTTCCGCTGTGTCCGACTGTATCCCTGTACCAAATTAACCCTTTCATGCATGACGGTCACTACAGTGGACAGCTATGAAAAGGTCATTTTCTATGATAAGAATAGGTTTTGATGGCAGTGTTGCATATAAGCCTCTACAGTGGACGCCTGAGAATCACCCAACACTGCCATACAGTGGTCAGCCTTTGCAAGTGCAGAATAATTGTGTCAACATTCAAAAAGAAAATTTGGTGTATAAAAACAGAACCAAATCAGTACTTATTTTTATGTCTAAAAACACATAAAAACACTACGCATCAAAGGGTTAATTATGAACCGGCACCGGCCCCTGCTATAGAGTGTGATTGGGATTATTTGAAATGTCAGGTTTCATTAAATCAACTACAGCTTAAAATTTGGTGACCATTATATAGTTAATAAAATATACAAATAATTTCCGGACTATAAGCCGCTAGTTTTTTTCCAACAATGATGCAGCTAATTCGTGGATTTTTACGGGCTAGCGAAGTTTATACCGCTAGCGATCAATGACTTTTCTGGTAGGCTATTGTGTGTTATACTAATAGCGTATGTCTGTCTGTGAATGGCTGTGTGCGTATATATGTTCGTGGGGCGTTCGCGCGAGAGAGAACGGTCGCAAAAGTTGAGAGCAGTTTGAGTCCTGTCATGTTGAAGTGTGAGTTGGTTATAGAGTTAAAAAGACCCCAAACTGGGTGCGGCTTATATTCAGGTGCGCTCAATAGTCCGGGGATTATTATAAATGTCAGGTTTCTGACAGACTTTGGTGATAAGTGATCTCAGTTAGTTATAGGACTTCAAGTTTGGTGACGGCGTTCTGTGTTCGACCAAGTCGCTGGACATTGTGTTTGAAAAAAGCAACTCCTCTTTACAACATTTTTGAGTCTTTTGCCATCTTGAAATTAAGAGTAGTGAACACTCAAGCGCTTCGATCTGAAATCAATCCGGCAAGGTTTTTGGTATATTAACACTTAACTTGGTTAGAAAAGCGCTGAATCATCTGCAAAAAAATGTGATGCAAACGCAACGCCACGGTGCACTAACTAACTGACTCTGCTCAACAGATCATTTGGTGCAGGCTTTGATTAAACACACAGGAAGGCACTTACCGAACACGGTGCGGGCCGGGACTGATTCTCTGTTCAGCCAGAAGGAGACCTGAGACAGTATGACAGTCATGATGCACGGCAGGTAGGTCTGAATCACAAAATAGCCAATTTTCCTTTTCAAATGGAAATATGCTGTCATCACTACATATTCTCCTGAGCCAGAGGAGAGAAACAAAGACACAGATGGGGAGAAACACACACAAGGTCGTAGTTATTGACACAGCCACACACTACTGGGGAAAAAAAAACACAAGCTGGAACATTGAAAGCAACACTGGCCACGTGAAGTCTTTCATTTGGCCTCTGAATGAGCACTAAACTACATCAAGCCCAGCCCCCCCCCAAAAAAAAAAAGAAAATGAAAAACTGTGCAAAACAATACTCAAAAAAAAAAAAAAAGAAAATGAAAAACCTGAACTGTGCAAAACAATACTTTTGGGGGATTTTTTTGTCGGAGCTGATAGTTCCATCCTACAGCTGCCTGTTTGTTTCATCGGTAATTACGAGATATTATTCATTGGAGTTCTGTTTCGTCTAACGTTTCAAAAAATGATACCGCTACGTTCTACATCAACTGCGGCAGCTTTACTTTCACCTGATTGATCGTCTCACTTGACTATTACTATGTTAATGGCGTGCTTTCTCCTCCGCCTCGATCGGTAATGGCGATATAATTCACTTCCTGTTGACAGTGTTCCACTTCGGTTTTTTTGGGAGTGTTGCTAAAGCTGGCTCTCGGTGTCGTGATCTAAGGCAGTGGTTGTCAAACTTTTTCTACTTTTTTTATAAATGTTTATAAAGACGTTTATGTTTAAATGTTCTATTATTGTACATGGTACGGTTCAGATTTATTCAACTGAAAATGCAAATGTGAAAATATGGATTTTCCCTGGCGCACCACTAGAGGGCGCTCGTGTACCACTGGTGGTATGCGTACCACAGTTTGAGAACCACCGATCTAAAAGTTTGATCTACAATAAGTAAAGAGAAGTCCACATGGGATTTAACTATTTAATTACATTAAAAAAAATAATAAAATTTATGGATCCTGCTGGGTAACATCTATCAACCTTTCACCATTTATTGGTTCATATTCTGGAAACCATAACCAAACATGGCCAGTGTGAACGATCTAACCAAGAATCACTTTTGGACTTAATCAAAGAAAAAAAAAAAAAATTCTGTCTATTTTCCATTTTTCTAAGTTTCCTTTATTATTTTCTCTTTAGTCTTGAGTGAAAAAAATGATGCATAATTTGACGTTTGTTTGTTGTTTTTTTTTTTTTTTTGCTGTTGCTGAAATACATTTTGTATATCTTACAGTCTGGGGATTTGATTTATGTGGCGTCAAGAATCAAGTAGTTGTTCATTAAATCTGGAACATTCCGTACATCAGTAATTAAAGCTTTTGATGGTTTTGTCTTTTGGAATCTTTCCGTCCTGGGCTGCTGCGTCCGACCCTGTTGCCAGCAACTCTCTAGCAAGTACCTTTATCACTTTGACCTGTGTTTCCTGTCTGAGTCAATACCTCGGTATCTCACCGCTACGTCGGGTCCTGCGATGACCCTATGACCCTGTTCTTTTCTGGTCCTTTTCCTATTGTATCTTTTGCAACTTGTGTTTCTCCCTTGTGCTCCTGGTCCGACGCCAGCTCTCTTTAGAGCAGGCGTGGCCAACCTGCGGCTCGGGGGCCACATGCGGCTCTTTGCCCGATTTTATGCGGCTCTTACGTTCATTTCATGCGGCTCTTACGTTTATGTCTAATTTAATGTTGTTTTTTTTTTGTTTTGTTTTTTACGCTATGTGAATGGGCGTTTATGTGTACCCTTTCTTTCTATGATATAATTCAGACTATTTATCATCTGCTGTACAGCAGATCTGTCTGAGTTTGTTTTGTGAACTGATCATTCAACACTTTTCAAATGCTTTCCCCCCTTGAAAACAGTGCGATGGTTGACGAGGTTTCAGGCCTGTCGCCAACTTCTTCTCAGCTTTTGTTGAGGCCCTTTTTTTTCCAAACTTTGATCCAAAAAATAAAATCTTGAAATTTTTTTTTTTTTTTTTTTTTTTTTTTGATCGACGACCGGCGCTTTGTTCTGTTCGTCGTCACTCCATGACCTCTGAATCACAATCTTATACTTCCACTTAAAAACATGGATTTATATTCCACTAACACTTTCCTTCATCGCCACTAGCCCCTAGTCTTGTATTTAGAAATGGTTCCCTACAGAGTTTGGGTCTGTTCTTACTTGATCCATTACCTAAACTCTCTTAGAAAGTTGTCCAAAAAAAAAAAAGACCACTGAAAGGGTCATAGCTTGATATTTTCCGAATTTTTTTTTTTTTTTTTACTTTGAAAAGGTTTGTCTGAAACATCTGTGACTCCAAGTAGAGACCACTTTTCCTTAAGTTCCGATTTGGTAACTGATGACAGATAACCTAATCATAGTTAGGGTTTAACAGCAGTTTTCAGCACCACTGTCTTAAAGATATGAAAAACCAAAACCAAGGGGTGTATTTTTTTTTTCTCCCGACATACTGACTAAATATCCGTTAATTCCTCTGGCTCAATCACAATTCATTCCGCTTAAATGGAGAAAAAAAACAAAAAAAGAAAACTTTCACATCGCCATGCCGAATGAAAGGAATTATCTCTTTATTATATCTTTCTCTTTACATTTCTTAGCGGCTTTAATTATATCCCTAAAATACCGAGTCAAACGTGTTGGTTTGAGAGTGATTTCAAATAATGCTAACAGTGTGCTTAGGAAAAAAAGTGTTCCCCAAAGAATTGAGATTTTTTTCCCCCCATACCCTTAGCACAAGTGCTTTTACTTTAACAGCTTTCAACACACTTTTGTGCTCCCGGGGAGAAAAGTCTGAGTGCCATCAAACACAGCCGTTTCACTGGGCTGGAGTCTCCAAACACTGCTGTAGTCAGATAAATCTGAGACGCTGTTGCACTCCCTCTGTGAGCCGTACGAGCAAACTGCTTCACCACGGAGGGCGAATCTCTCAATACGGAAAAGGCAGTCTGTGTGGCTCACTTGTAATCTATTCCATCTTCTTCTTTAGTAATTGCCTGCTCCCGATTCAAACCACCTTTTTTATCTCAGGCTTTGCAGCGCCGCGGAACTCTTCATCCTTCCCCCGGTGATGCTGTTATCTAAATCAAAATGTTACAGATATTATTTTTGCTGATAGCTCTCTGTTTACGGGGAATTATGCCTGCACATAATTGCGTTGGAGTTTCTTATTCACTTCTAATGAGATTCTACCTTTTAAGCCTTTATCAGGATACTTCTCTTTATTTATCATGGCTACCTATGCAAAAACCGACGTTGTCGGGGTTTTGGTAAACATAGTTACATCGTAAGTGAAAACAGAGTCGATAGTTTAATAATCTGCCGAAATTTGGGAATGTGTCTATAAACAAGTCGTATAATTATAATGAGCTTAGGTAATTATAATAACTCTAAAATTGACTGAATAAAAATTCCTCCATTTTCTCCCCTGTTAAATGGATTTTTTTTTTTTTTTTTTTGGGAGTACATTTTCATTTCATTTCAATTCTAATTTTAAGCCTTAAAAAGTCCATTATGACAAATGTGTGAATTGGAGTTTCACCACTAACATTCCCTCGAGTCACCATTTGCTTTACCCACACACGTCCGGCACTGCCATCACGTGCAATCCAAAAGCGAAGCCTAGCTGCTCATTTGGCGCTAAGCTAATTATATTCTTTCAACAGCGGAGGCACTAGAAGGGGGTTGTCATCTGTACCAACAGAGACAGAGACAGAGACTGGTTTCGGGTTGGACGCCGGACTTGGTTAACTTTATGTCCTCTCTGCCCCCCCCCTCCCCCTTATTAACATTTAAAGGTAAAGGCGCAAAAACCAGCTGTTCACACAAGGGCTGTTAAAGTGTTAAAGCATGTTACCCACATTACACTGAATCATCAACGAACCATATTTATTTACATACAAGTTGCATCAAGCAATATATGGCCAATCGTACTTGAGGCTAAATAGTAGTCTGGCATATGTTGACATGGTTAACATTGAAAATAACGGGAGAAATCGTCGACTCCTCCAGCCTGCTGCTGGGCTGCCGTTGCTGGGGCGATAGTGTCCCTGGTTTACGATGCGTTACGCAAAGCTAAGTTGAGCATTTGGGTATCAGGTATCATATCGGACTGGCGATAGTTGCGTTTTAGCGATGTTCTATCCTGAAATATTGACCGATATTGGTATCGATACAGATCGCGAGTATTGGATAGTCATCCTTAGTTTTTCCCTCATTCTCATCCAGAAGTTTAACATTAGCAACAATGAAACTCCCAGGTAAAATAAAGTCCACTACAAGCTGAAAGTTGGCTGTAAAGATTCAGTGCAGGGGAACTTTGTTTCTGCTTTACTGGTGTTCCGCCCAGCCCGGTTTATTGAGCGCGTCAGGGTTTTAAATGAATGTAGAAAATACTGAAATCCAAGCTGGTGCTTGTTTACTTTTTGTTCTACTTCTATTCTACTCCGTATTGCGATGCAGGCAGGCGTTGGGCTTTTCATTTTTTGTTGGTTTTTTTTTTTTTTTAGATGTATTTACCCCAACCACCACAACAGTAAGTTGTCAGTCAGTAAGTTTAAATAGATATTTCTACGTAGAGTTGCTAGGGGACAAAACACTACTAAATAAGGCAGCAACGGACACAAGGTTTGGTCACCTTGACTTAAAACTCACTGAGCAACGTTAGTTCCCAGTCTGGACAGGTTGCCCCAGAGTAACATCCAGTCATATTGACATCACAAGTTCAAAATGTTCTGGAATAGTTTTGTGCTTAAATTTAGCTTTGCTTTTCTCCCTGTTGGCGGCCATGTCTTAAGAGCAAAGGCCCATTTCTCCAGCTTGGTTTTTTTTTTTCCCATTACAGTCCAACCATTACTTTCTGTCAATCATTTATGCTGCAAAATTCTAAGAAACCCTGAATCGCATCCCATCACGGTAGGTTAAAAATAGTTCCGGGATCTAAATAGCATTATTGTTAATAAATTGACTGTGATTTTTGAGAAGAAAAATACAAAGTTAAAATGGCAAAAGACTATAGAAAAGTGCAGATTTTTTACTTTATCATAACACACTAAAGAGGACACCGAGAGCTCTATTTATATCTATATACCATATCTAGTATACCCCCCCGCCCACTTAGAGATCAAAATTGAGTTTTACTGCAGTATCCGCTATTAAAATAGAATATTTCATTAAAAAAAAAAAAAAAAAAAAAAAACCCCTGAGTGTATCCTGAGTTGTGCGTTTTCCCTGCAGCTAGAAATGCTTTGTGCTCTAGGTTGTTGCGTATGTTTTTCTTTGAAAGAAAATTTGGTTTGAGGCAAAAAAATAAATAAAATAAATAAAATAAAATAAGCAAAAGATCTACCTGTGCTTGAACTGATAGTTTCTTTGCCGATAACATGGCCCAGAAGATCGTACTGATTTAGCCTGGAGCCGTCCTCGGCCACGGAGACGGATCTCTCGAGTCCTTTGGTCCACAGGTAGATTACCTCGTTATTGGTGTACGCATCTGAGAACGGGAATACTAAGTCAGACATCACTGAAGTCGACACGTGTAAAATCATTTTGGGAAAAAAAAGAAAAAAAAAAGACAAGGTCCTGATTTTGCAAACCACAAGTGCCTTAAATGCTCCTTATATATTCTGGTGTGGCTTATACTTTGTCGTGGTTGCAAAGAGCAGGTAGAATGAATCTGCATATTGTCAATAGAAAAATCAAGCCATGTTTCCACCTACCATATGACTCAGTTTACTTAACCCTGTAAAGCCCAAACCATTAAATAATTGACAAAAAAATTCCAATTCTTTGAACCTGGACCCGTTATTGGTCCCTTTGAACATAAAAAAAAAAAAAAAAAAAAAAATTCAAATATCATTTTCCATATATGAGTTTCAATTTGTATCATATTTGATACATCGGGTCACAATGGTCAAATATTTACTTTTTTTTCTGAACAAACCAAAACATAATAAAACACAAACAAATCTAACGAATCTGTAATTCCAAACATAAAAAGCGCTACCATAATGCAGTAACGAGAAATCCAATAATGGAACTGGCTGGGTGGAAGTCTGGAAAACATATATATATATATATATTTATATAATATATATTTTATTTATATACATATAATATATATTTATATATATATATAATGTTACATGTCTAGTTTTTTACTCACTAAATGTACCAAATTATGTTATTTAAAAATAAAAAAAATCTTATATATATAAATATATATAAAATGCATGAAATACAATCAAATGACAGCTGATTTAGAGTTCCATGACCTTATACGTATACCTGCTGTATCAAATGTGTCATTTTCAACACGGTTTTACTAAAACATAGATTATGAAATTTGAAGTATTTTCACATTGCATCAACCCAGTAACTATTCCTATTGATGTTTTCAGTAAAAAAAAAAAAAAAAATTATATATAATTTTGGGCTATTTTTGTATTGAAAGCGAGCTCACAGTTCAAGCTGAGCTGTCACCCCCTACTGCTGTGTTACCATTGTGCCATTTACGGCGTAATCAAAATAAAAAAAATAAAAGTACAATCTGAATAACAGCAAAGCACCCACAGTGTTTCAGTAATGGCGTCCACATCGATTCGGAGTCACTTACAGCTTCCAAACTTTAGAGGACAGGCGTGTGCATCCATCGGGAAATCCTCCAGGTGCATGGGGCACTCGGCATGAATTGTCAGCCTGAGGGGGGGGAGCAGAGGGGGGAAACAAGATTTAACATGCAATAAACCGACGAGTGGTGGTGTGCAGAATTTGTAAATGCGAAAGGAGAGAGAAAATATGTTGGTTTAAAAAAAAAAAAAAAAAAAAAATGAATCACTATGGTTTATTATTACTAAATACTTCGTATACATTTATATATGTAATAATCAGATTCTTTGACTTAACATTTCCATGCAAGGAAGTGGAAGTATATTTGAAAATATTCATATTTAATGAAATATAATATTACAAAACACAGCGTTTGAGCGTTGTTTTTATTTTTCGGAATTCATCAAGCGGGCCGGATTTGACCCGCAGGATCGGGTCCGCGGGCCTTATGTTTGACACCGCCACTGGTATACAATTGACCTTACAATCACAATGAATAAGTACGGCACACCTGAATCCAGCAGTGGATTACGTGGCAGCACCTCAAAACACGATCCTCCAAACATCTTAGTAACAACGAGGCCTCCTGCTAGCTCCCCTGCTACTGCTAATGAAAGCTCAGCTGACTGATGGAAAAAAGGAGCAACTCTACTCCACAGAGGACGCCCACGCTCGCTTTATTTGAGCAAAAGAGCTGAAAAAAACACACAAGTGCGCACAATAAATGGAGAAACGTCCCGTATTGTTATATCACTCGTACATGTTTAATCGAAGCGGGGGATTCAATTTGCTGAGTTCAAACAAAACTGGAGCCCATTAAAATAGCCCACAGTGGACAGAGTCCCTTTTGAAATGGGACCCCAAACTGGGTTATTGTAACTCACTTGAAACATTTATGGCCTAATACTGGGTTATTTCGACAACTGGGATGTAAGCTGAATATCTATACAAGTAAATATGGTTTATGAGGGATTAATAATGCATAATCCGGTGGATGAAATGCTTTCTGATTTCTTCAGATATCATATGGACTTATATCAAGCACACTATTCTTTTATTGTACAAAGGAATGCCTCGGTAGATCACGTTTTTTTTTTTGTCTCCTGGTATTATTACTGCTAAATACCACAGACCGTTCACTTACAACTTAATGGTTTCTTATTAGCCTAATGTTACACTTGCTAGAACCCTGTGTATCCCTCGTTTTCAATCTTCCTGATTTAAGAGCTGCCCCAACGCCTTGGAACTGTTTTAATAACTTTCCACGTTGATAAAATCCGAGATAAGAGTTCCTAAGGATCTGTTCGCTGGCAATTCATTTCTCATTGATTGCGGAGGTTGCGTTAGATTAAAACGAAATTTGAGAATTCAGTTTGATTAGACCTTTGATTAGACTTCATTGTACTCACATTATTACAAAAATCTGATTGATGATGATGATGTGATGATCCTCCTGTTTCATATCGAAAGAAATCAGTATCTAATAAACCCGTTAGCTTTTTAGATGATTGATTCGTTCTTGCCGCTCTGGTGTGGAACCCCAGGGTTCACCTCCTGGGCTAGATCAAATCCCGGTTGGGGCGGTTGGTACCTTCCAGTGAACTCACCACCTACAGGAAGGTTCAGGGGGGTTGGTACGGTGCAGTGTGATTTGGGGTGGCGGTCATGGAGACTGCTGCCCTCGCGACCCGGTAACGGATAAGCGGATAAAAATGGATGGATGATTTATTCTTTACTTTGACTTCACGAGAATACTCAAAGGATAAGGCCTGTTCTCATGGGTTTGCCGTAAGGATGTCTGATATTACCTTTTTGCCGATATTGTCCAAACACTTAATTTGTGATTACGATATCAAGCGATGGCCGAACCGATAACTGATATATGCAACCGTTTGGGTTAAGGCAGAGGACACATTTCATTGTGCACAACCCTAAATAATATTTTCTATGGATCTCCGATAATAAGACCAACCGATATTACCGGCCTGATATTAGCATATTTTGTAATATCTGTAGCAATATTTATTGTTTTTTTTGAAAACCCGATAACGCTACGAGTGGGTTTCGCCAAATGACGTGTGCTCTAAAAATAATGCAATGACCCGACGACAGACCAGTCAGACCCCTCAGTGGTCTGAAGAAATTTTATCGAAAACACAACTGCAGTAACTCGTTCTAAACTCCTTTATTGCTCTCCACCCAGCTCCTCCAAAATGGCCCCTAGGATTCACTGTTTGGATGATCAGAAACTGTCGTCTTGGCAACCGCTGCTATTTAAAGTCCACTTTTCTATGCACTCTGATAAAGATATTATGTTGTGGGTGTGAAAACTACAGTATGTGGCCGAGACTGGCTGTAAAGCCGACACTGATTGATGAAGTAAATCAAACAGCTGCTGCATCAGCTCTCTACGACTAAAGTTTAACGCCTTGAGCGAGAAGGTTTTCCAGGGTTGACGTGCGGACTTGTAAGACGGATTGCCGCGGAACTTTGGTGCAGATAGTAACTATCCACTCACTAGGAATCGGGATAGCTTTCGCTTTTTGATTTGTGTTCCTTCTTGCAGCCACTTCTTCGTGGACCATTTGCTCGTTCTTATTTCGTTCATTTTGAATGTGATTGACAGTCGCTCTTTGTTACATCCGTCCGTGCGTCGGGACACGGAGGGACGTGTCTTGTCTCTGTCATGTTCTTTTTTCGAAGTGGCAACTTTTCAGAGTCACAACAACCCAAACAATATCAAGTGAGTGGACTGGATAGAATCAACCCACTGACATGTAGCTGTCTCCCATTACCTCCAGATGGAAGGGTCTTGGTGCAGGAAAACAGGCGTAGGATTCCCACTCATATGAGGTCAGGGGTCCCTGGTCTGGAGGCTAGTGGTGGTCCGTAGGTCATTTGGTACACAAAAAATGTACTTCGGTTTTACTGTTTTACTTCAGTCACAAAGAATCCAGTCATATCCCTTTACTTTTTCCACTAAAAGATCATCTGTCAATGTTTCAAAACAACCGGTCGTTCAGACTCTGATACGAACAGAATGAAGTCTAAAAGGTGTTTTATTTTGAAAATGTAATGAGCAACGATCATCGATGGCGCGGTATTTCGAGATACGAGCAAGTTTTCGAGCATATTTTTGCTTCAAGATACGAGTCAAGACTTTGAGATACTAGCACGCTTACAGACGCCGACGCTAGGTTGGCGAGCACTCGGAGCAGCCCACGCCGACTCACTCGTTCACTTCACGCGTTTAGGGCGACTTCCCTAAGCATCGCTACCGTGATTTTCTCTCTATTTTGTCCATTAAAAAAAGGAAAAACGTACGTTAAGTTAATTCTAAGTTTATGTGTACGTGTAAGGTACGGAATCAAGAGTCTACGTACGGGCCAACTCTCTTCCCTCCGCCGCCATTAGCCGCTACCGTATCGTCTGTCTCGAAGTTAAGAACTCATTTTATTTTATATCACAGGAATCCTTACATACTATATATATTTTTTGTCTCTTTCTCTCTTTAGCAACTGAAAAATATGTTTTTTTTTCCCCATTGTTATTAGCACTGATTAATGGCCGTAACTGATTCATTTCTTTTCTGTTATTTCTTAAGGGAAATGATTCGAGATACGAGCACCTCGAGTTGCAAGCTCGGTCCTGGAACGCATTATGAATTTTCAAAATATGTGAAGCTGCTCGACGGTCAGGTGTGCTCGACTGGCCTCACTGGACTGCGGTTTATTCTTTATTTTTTTTACAATCGTCTAAAACCAAGACGACTGGTTTTTCCATTGGTTTCTTCTCCGTCACCGCATGCAGCTGCAGCTCTATTTGATATCGCTCCTTCAATTTCCTTTTCAGAGCAAAGCACGCTACGCAACGAACCTGACATGAAAGCGGTTCCCCACCATGGTTCTCTACGCTGCCATTGACCGACAGCACGATCAAATACTCTTATGAATACTCTTGTTTTTTTTAAGTTTTAGGCAATAGTAGAAAACAACGCGAGAGATCTTTTAACACCACCGTAGGAGGAGATACATTTTTTTTAATGTCAGGATACATTTGTGAGAGAATGTTATGTGTAAATGTAAGTGTTTTTTTTTTTTTTTTTTAGGGGGGTTGAGGTGGAGCGGCACACAACGCGAGAGATCTTTTAACACCACCTTAGGAGGAGATACATTTTTTTAATGTCAGGATACATTGGTGAGAGAATGTTATGTTTTTTTAAGGGGGGTTGAGGTGGAGCGGCAGTTCCTGAATGCTATTGTATTGATTTTGCTTGGTATGGATATCTTATTGTCCTTGCGACCAGGTATGTAGAATGCTGCCCCCGGGCTGTTGGGTTTTGTGTGTAGTTTCTTTTAAAGGGCACATCTCTTCGTCATGCTTTAAAGGTCAATTATGTCAAAAACATCTCACCAAACCACCCGTATGTCACGGCTACAACGGTACGAAAGGAGCAAAAACGTACCACAGAGCCGAGGAAAAATGGTAGTACATTTATGAATTTTCGAAAGCGGTTGGAAACCCTTCCGAAAGTGGCTCACCTCATTGTGTAAAGAAGTGTGCCGTTGTCGACGAGTCTCAGCAGCTTGTTCGGAGTCGTCATGTTGTGGGCCACAGATTTTTTCCCGTTGTGGAAGAAGGTGTCCGGAGTCCAGATCTTGCTGGCCAGGAGGTTGTTGAGGGGCAGGACTTGCATCGGTCCATCAAACTTCAGCCTTTCGTCTACCCACATCTGACGGAAGAAGACGTCAATGGTGTATTCCTGGGGATCAGAGCGAGCAGCGATGTTTATATTTGACCATTATGACATTAATTAGTAAATTCCCCCATCCATCCGTTATCGACCACTTGTTCCCTTTCAGGGTAGTTGGCAGTGCTGGAGCCAAGCCCACATACACTATATGACCAAAAGTATTGGCTCACCTGCCTTGACTCCCATTCCTAACCCAGAGTTCAATATGATGTCGGTCCACCTTTTGCAGCTATTACAGCTTCAACTCTTCTGGGAAGACTGTCCACAAGGTTGAGGTTTTATTTGAGTGTTTATAGGACTTTTTGACCATTCTTCCAAAAGCGCATTGGTGAGGTCACACACTGATGTTGGACGAGAAGGCCCTGGCTCTCAGTCTCCGCTCTAATTCATCCCAAATGTGTTTGGGACTCTGTGCAGGCCAGTCAAGTTCATCCACACCAGACTCTGTCATCCATGTCTTTATGGACCTTGCTTTGTGCAACGGTGCACGGTCATGTTGGAAGGAGGCCAGCTCCAAACTGTTCCCACAAGGTTGGGAGCATGGAATTTTCTTTTTTTTCAGGAGCTGGGCTTGGCCCCTTAGTTCCAGTAAAAGGAACTTTGAATGCTTCAGGATACCAAAACGTTTTGGACAATTCCAAAAAAAAGCTGTAATAGCTGCAAAAAGGTGGACCGACATCATATTGAACTCTGGGTTAGGAATGGGACGGCACTTCAGTTCATAGTATGAGTCAAGGCAGGTGAGCCAATACTTTTGGACAATTTGCCAGTACATTGCAGGGCCACATATATAGACAAACAACCATTCACACTCACATATAGTGAATTTCTAGCAGGGATCGAACTTGCGCATCACTTATCTTCTTGCTGTGCTCTACAAACGCTTTCCACTGAGTGGCACGATTAATGAATTAGAATAGAATAGAATAGTCTTTATCATCATCGTCATTATAATGGGGGTAGAACAAACTTGAGGGGGTGTCCTCCACTGAGGCGCTGTACGCCACAGAACATCATGTATTACTAGAAAAGCAAGGAAAACAAAGACAAAAAAAAAAAAAAAGAAAAGAAACCCCCCACAAAGATGACATTTATGAAGTGTTTCTTGTCTTTAAATGGAGACATAGAGGTTGGAGTATACAGAGAGAAAAAAGTGCTGTATGCCTGTGTGGAAAAACAGACAATGTATAATAAAAGGGAACATTAAGGGAGGTAATTTGTAAAGAATTTTAAAAACAGAACAAGTCCAGTTTTAAGTGCTAAAAAGATGTTGGGAAAGGTAGATTAGTTCATTTCTAATCAGCAAAAAAATAGCTGAAAAAAATAGTGATGGTGAGTATTAATAATTACTAATTAGGCACCTTGTCAATTGGTAGTAAACTCATTGATTGTTGTTAGTATTTTCATGATTACAAAGCTGATCTTTTCATTCTTTTAACTGATCCTGAATCGGCAAGGAATGGCACAAGATACATTGTTACGGAGAGAAATGACTGCAGTCTTTTGTTTTATGTCCTAAATCACACTAAATAGTTATTGTTTGAGTTTGAGCATTTACATACATTCACGAAACATCGAAAAATATACTAGTTCCATACCCGTGAACCCCTCACATGTAGCCTTTCCAATAGTTTTTGAAAGTATTTAAAAAGTTTTAGTTGGTCATTTTAGAATGAGAAAAAAAAAAATTGTACTAGCCGTTTGCAACGTAGCGTGTGATTGTTTTTCCCAGCATTTCATTTTTTTTTTACTCAGTAACAGGTTCGTCTCAAATGTAGCAAACTCAAATACCTCTCAAAATGTTCTTAAGTAGATAAATGACCCATTCCTGAAATTACTTTACCAATTACTCATATAAAAAAACTACTCAATTACAGTTACTTCAGTAAATGTAATTTATTACTTTCCACCACTGGAAATTGTCATATTTTGGTGTAGCCACTTTGTGTTCAAGCGAGAGCTGATTGTAAAATCAGCCTTAGTGGCTGGATTTTATGTTTGTTAGTGAAGACACAGAACGTTTTACACCGATGTTGGGCAAAGAGCTAAAGATTGTGTTCGACAAGCCAGTTTCTGGACCATATTTGTGTAACGTTTTAATAATGAGCCTCGCGGTACTTTAGTAATGTCAGCAACCACATGAAGAAGTAGCTAAACGAAGTCGATGCACGACGCTGCTTTACTTCATTCAGTGAGACTCTGTGTCCTAGCAACAGCCTCCCTTCATCAGCTGCAGCCACCGCGGTACAGACTTGCTGCAGCTGTCTCCACACAGTGAAAGGGGAAGGATGCTGTTCTTTCACACAACACTGCACATTATTAGTGACAAAAACAACAAAAGAAGGAGGGTACCCTTCGATCCTATTAATCCCATCGGGCTCTGCTGCGGCAGTTTACACTCGGTGTAAAATGTATAAAAAAAAAATAAAATATACGAATAAAATCACTTTCAAGTGATCCTGTAGCACACTTTTTTTTTTAAAGTGTGCATATGCTGCGCTGAGCTGTTCTCCATAGATCCAGAACTGGCATCTAGACAAATATATATTCAGTGACTGAACATGTAGCGGCCGGTGCAGAAGTGAGAAAAAAAAAACAAAAAAAAAATTGAATGTAATCCAAAAGACTCACCTCAAGTCTTTACAAACAGTCAAACAATTTTGACCATTTAAATCAGTACTTCTCAAATAGTGGGGCGCCTCCCCCCTCTTCCCCCCCCCCCGTGAGGTCCCAGGGGGGCAGTGTGTTGGACTTCTGTATCAGTGCTACAGATTTAATTGGACGAAAAGTATAGCAGTACCTGTATAGTACCATGAAAAACACAGATCTTTCTGACTAACTGGAAGTACAACTGTACCCTTGTTGGGTTACATCTGTACTATCTCAAATAGTTGGGCGGGTTCCCCTCGAGGGGGCCGCCGGGGGGGCCGGGGAGGGTGTGAGGGTATGTTATGTAAGAGACTTCCAATGGAATATGGCACGCTTGCTGTACTGCTTGAACGATTAACACGCCTCCAGTCACTAGGTGGCAGCATCTGATACAGTGCTTTGGACGGATAAGAAAATACATATGATCAGGTTCTCAATTGGGGAGGACGGGTCTGAAATAATTTCTGTCCCCCGGAGGGATTTGCGGGGGGGGGGGCGCGG